AAGTTACAACGGATTCACATGAATTTGAAGATTTATAATTAGATCTGATTCCAAATTGTCGTTTGTCAGACTTGAAGTTTGTATGGCGACTGTAAAAAGTTCAGGAGCCTCAGCGGGATTCGAACTCACCAGTAGACGCCGCCTGCGCCGCATGCTCTACTGGCTGAGCTGCGATGGCACACGGAGAGCACTGATCTTTTCACATTCGAATTAGAGCGCGTGCGTACAAGCTTAGGCAGCGTCCATACGTGGGTTCGAATCCCACTGATGCTACTGAACCTTTCACAATCGCCATGCAAAATTTGTAGTAGTTCAAAAGTTACTGCTCTGAATCGGAAAATATTTTAGACAAAGCAGCATGGGAATTCATTTCTTTAAAAAGATGATTCCTGTCCCATGAGATTGTTTATTTAGTTCAGCACAAGTATTGTAAATTGCTTATCTCTAGAGGGATCAAGTTAAATGTCAAATTCGTTCTATTAACGCGCATCCGCTGGGATTTTAATTTAATCGAAAACATTTCCTTCTATCTGAAACAGGGATAAGCTACCTTGCCATTGATCGCCATTGGTAAGGGTGTGCGGTGTATTAGAGGAAACTTGCAATTTCTGTTTGGCAGTCAACTTGGTGGACTCCATGCTAAAGCAACTGCCTGGAGTGCTCAAAAATGAAGGACGGCAAGTGGAACATGAACTAGGTGAAAGCACAATACCCGTATAAAGTCCATGAGTCATTTTAATACATAAATTCTAGTTACATTCTCAGCTGTGACTTTGTTATCATACAACTGATGCGCCAGCAACCCTGGTAAAAATCGCGAAATTGTACATTTCAATGACATGTGGCTAACAGTATCAGTGACATAAGTGGGTATTCTATCAGATATGTTGCGTGGGGCAATATAATATTCAATCCCGTGAATGAGGCTGGAAAAACAAATCATTGAGAGGAACAAATATGATGACAACCAGGATGTTGCACGAGTTAAATCAATACCTGTACATATCCGTTCTGCCGATATAAAATGCTCAGCATCCATATTCGAATATAATACTTGTGATTTGTCGGAGAATAGCAGGGTTGCTCTTCGGCTTGTGTGTTGTTGCATACAGGAGCATTGTGTTTGCAAGATTACAGGTACTTTCCCCCGCTTCGTCCTCTCGATCATGGTAAATCGGGTTAATATTGTCGCCTTTGAAAATGGGTTAACAGTATAACTTTTTCTTGGGGATCTTCGTTACTACTGACTTTTACTCGGGTATGCGATCGGACTTCTTAGGAAAACTACCTGGGCAATTTGTCGCGACAAGAATGATCTGCAATTTGTATAACTCCTTCAGTAAACTATCCTCACTGTAGATTGATATATTTGATGGAACAGCTTTTGTAGGGGATTGTCGCGAAACTGGAGAATGTTGGCCCTTCCAGGTAAACTTGAGATAAGCAGTTTATTTGTCACTATAACGGCTAGGAGTGTAACGTATCCATTTCTTTCCTTTTCTAATGAGAGACGCATATTTCTGTGTGAACTCAAGGTGATTTAAAGGAAAGAAATCGCCTGTTGTCACTCTTTTCAACAAATCAGCATGATGAGTTGGACGAACGACTAGTAATCCTGTTGATCATAAAATCTGGAGAACAGAATGGCATGGTACCAAAAGTGTGCTGGCTAACGAACGAAAATTGCGTTAGGTGTCGAGGCGGAGGGAGGTGGGTCGGCGCGATTAGTTTCCTCGTGTGACACAAAAAGACGTGCGCACTTTGCAACAGACAATACAAACTCTACTCGTTTTCGCAGTCATCCAACCCAAGAGTAATTATTATCGAATAATCACTTGATTTTGGCAGTTACTTCTGAGAAGTACGATCAGTGCCTCAGGACGTATTATACATAGAATGTGAATGACTGAGAAAAAACGATGTTTGAAGCTCGTAATCCTTCAGCTGGAACTTATTTCAAAATCGTGGTTGTTTTCCCTGTGTGCAATTGACACACAAAACACAACGAAAGATTTATAACGATGATTCGTGGTCGGTTCGTCTTGTAATATGAATGTGCATGATGTGCAAAGAAGAATGCTTTGGCACAATGCGTGAAGCTGTTAGATTTATGCCATGAGATTAATAAGAATTTGAGCTAGACTATTAAACAAACTGGATAATGTTTGCATCTGTTTTATCTGTAGCTGCAGTGACGTTGCCGGCAGAGCGTTTTTCTGTTCCTGTTTGTTCATTTACACCTGATCTTCTTCAGCGATTCGGCTCATTTGCTCTACTGTTCTTCATACCGTTTGCTGTAGTATTGTCTTCATTTTCGTCCGTTATGTATATCTGTATGAATATTAACTCCTGAGTGGTAGCTGTCTGTGTTCATGAGCACTTACTGATAGTGCTCCTCCGGTTTGGCCACAAGTGTGTTAGATATGCGTTAAAGATAATGATGTAGAAAAAGTACACCTATCGCTCTCTCCCCTCTTTCGTTTTCCATTGACGAATACCCCGCAGTGTATGATTCTCTATCAATCAAAGGAGCAATCGCATTATGACTAGTTGGTCTGTCAAATACTTTTAGTGGCATATTCAGGTAGCCGGAAAGAGCAGCACAAGGAAGCATCATTGCTGGAGCGGAAACCGAATTAATAAGAGCTTTCTCATAGTCCCAAATAGATCTAAATAGCACATTTATCAACATTCCAACGTAAGGTGGCTTTACAAAAACAAAATACGTTCATGACCATACTTCGGTTGTTGGATCAAGGCCAGTGTTTAGTGCACCGTTCTGGCTCTTTTCTGTTCTCTTCACCGTGGTTTTCGAACGCTGATCTGCCCGCGCGGTTGAATCACTGACAGAGTCAGCATCGTCAGCCGCTTGTGATTGAATACCAGCGAGCAATCCATTGAAGCGATTCACGAGATTGAAAAATTCCGCTCGACTTGGGAAAACAAGCAGATCGTTGGTGATGAAGCTCGGTCCGCGGACTCTGTGTCAATATGCAAAAGACAGATTGTGCGAGGTTAAGATATGTGTAAGCGCCAGATGTGCAAAAAGAGCAACTGTAAAACGTCTGTGCTAAGGTGGCACATTGATAGTCGCGCGAGTGAGAGAGTGGGAGCACGTATGATGAAATCCAAGGTAGCAATTTGGCCTTCCACCAACCATGCCGTAAACTTCACCACGACCTTTGAATAAGTAGCACAAATAAGCAGTGATGCATTTAGAACATATCATAATCAAGAAGACATGTTCGAGCCCCACCAGGGACAGAGAAATATTGGGCAATGCTCATGAGCCCACTAAAAGACGAAACAGCTATTCAATGTTCATTTTTGCCTTGGCATATATTTTGATATGGCTTATTGAAATATGGGCAGAAGATGCTTTCCGAAAAAAAGTAACATGAAAATATCAATATAGGAACACAGTTTGTTATGGTAAATCCGAAAGGGGTAAAAAGAGGAAAACATTGCCACCAACTGTTTTATCGTTTATTTTTGAAAATGCCTAGAATAATTTCCAGGTAAGATAATTTTTCGTCTTTATAACTGCTTCAAAAATATTCTGGAAAGATGCACTACTGATTTGCTTGCCGTTTATTAGCTGTGTGGGTTTAGTATTCACTAGTTATGACAGTTTATATTTTCCTCAAAAATATTTTTCCTAGGTCAATGGGAATAAACTTTAAAATGGACAACATAATTATGTTCTGTTTGGATTCATGTTGCTCATAGATGTTAGAATGCTTGGAAAAATTGATGGAAGGTGCAGATTCTCTTTTTGGCTTCTGCCTTTTGTGTATTGTATTGTGTGTTGCAAAACTATTCTTTGGAAACTTTGGTAGGTTGTCAGCTGGTTGTTCTACTCTTATGAAACCCGTGGTCAAACGTTTTCGTGTGAAATGAAGCTTTATCAAGTTAATGATTGTGTGCCAAATAAAAAACGACTTACATCTTGCACCCTCAATGGACAGAGTTTATCCTGAATAAACGTTTCAAATAGTGGCGATGGAAATAATAACTTTCAGCTAGGTATACCGTACTATTTATAAAACGATCTTCTTCACTAACAATCATCTGCAGCAAAAACGTTATGCAATCAAAAGTGATTGTCAAACTATCGTTGTTTTGTAATATATTACTTAAGAGTATAGAACGTTGTTAACTACCCACCAACATAACACATGAAAACCCTCCTTCCGTTCCGGCAGACCACGTGGTATGTTAAGTAGCAAAGTAGCACAGTAATCCACTTCATTAAGGGACTCAACCAGCAAACCCATAAGTAATAATCTGCTGATACCAATATGATAATCCTCTTCAATCCAAAATGCGCACATGCATATATTTTGGGGCTCTTCAACATAGCGATACGTTTTGGGGTAAGTAGTTAGTCACTTTCAGAACTCAAATGTTGAAGACATGTTTCAAGGAATGTGCACTAAGTTGCTTTGTCAGTCAGATGGGGCTGAGACGTATGGTAACATCATTCGTGACAAAATTGTCTTTTGTCTTATTGTGGACGGCGCGTGTAGGATTGGCTCCTACAATCAAGACCACCACAATTGAAATTTAGTAGGAAAAGCAAACGCCAAAAATTGAGCTGTATGTGTGTATTCTTTGAGACATTTAACAGGCTTAAGCAGTCCACTTTGATGGTGTAACCAAGCTAAAAGCTAAATGCATCAAAGAATACACAAACAACATAACTGATTCTTTCGTCACTTATTTTCATCCCTTTTGATAAAGTGAAGGTTTGTAAAGATATGGAAATTACATTGAAACTGTATTCACAATATGTTACCATGATATTTGTCTTTTGTTAGAGGCATCAGTCCATTCGACAGTTGGGATCCCGAGAATTTGCATAAAAGCTTTAAGGTATCCAAGCGCCTTTGCTACGTTAGAGGATACATTTCAAATTGGTTACCCATTCTAAACGAATGATGTACTTTAACTGTGGTGTTTCAACCTCTTATTATCGCAAATATCTACGGTTAGGTCCGAGTTCTGAATGTTTGAATCCTCGCACAAAGGTATGGATGTGAGGTATGCCTAAGTTAACAAATCCATGCGACAGTGAATCTAAGCAAAACTTCAATTTTGTCAATTTATGCACCATTGACATTCAGTCAACTCATCATTTTACCCGACAGAGACAAGCGTATATGCAGTTCCTGATCGATTCCGTTCAACTGAACATTTCACCGAATAAAGTAATCAACCTAAACGACAATGCACATTCAACTCACGAAATTCTGTCACTCGGATACTTCTCTGATGTGAAGTCAGGTAAAATATGATTGACCCAATTAGTTCAGATTTCCCTTTCCTTCTGTGAAATTATAATTAGGTATAAATAGACTGATAACGCCGTTATTTCCCCATGGCGTTTCTTATCCATCAGAGACCTTGTCATGGAAATATCGTGCGTTGGGTGCAAAAATACAAAGAGTCTTTTAGTTTGTCTGATTTATAATCCGTTTATACGTAGTTAATGCTTAGTTGAAATCGGGTCTTACCACCTTGCTTATAAGGTATGCTCAGATAATAGTGGGGATTTATTTACCTGATTTCCTTGAAACTGATCAACAGATGCACACGATCCAAACCAAGTGCGTATCCGGTCATCAGGTTTTCCACAACTTGCAAGAGTAAACTGCACTTATCACCCGTTCTGTTTTGATCAGCTCTTGTTTTACTAGCAATTGTGAGAAACGGTGCTGTGCCCGACTTTGGTTCGCAAATCGGTGGATAACCGTACACTTCGGGAAAACCAGCGCTGTTTCGTACAAATGATCGGGTTTTGTCCCCGGCTGACTGCACATCTTCACTTCCGTGAACTTCTTCTTGAACCGTTGACGGAAGAGGTAATTCGATGGTGTTAAGACCACACAAAAGCACGGGGAATTGAGTTGCATCCCAAGAAATAGCTTGTTTGTGTAAAGACTCCAGTCGCTGAGCCCAATAGTATACGTCCAGAGAATAACTGGGCACGGGAGAAATGCTGGGAACTAGATCGGTGATGAATGTTGCGCATAACCGGTTGTCCTCATCTGTTTTAAAATCAAAATCAATAAGTTAACGCGATGATTTTCTATGGATTCTCTGGCCAGAAATGACGCTGAGATTTTACAATATGCCCATTGTTTTGAAGCCGATGCAAAACATGTATTACGGAGGATAATTTGAAACGGATCGTGGTACAGTCAGTATGTTTGCAATTGAAAACAAACAGCCGAAAGCGGAAGCAGGTATTGGGAAATGATAATTGAGGTGGAAACCGGATGACTCAATGGATGGTTGGTCATTTTCATCATCATGTCTGTTTATGACGTAAGCACCTCTTGTCTATGCCCGTTGGAGGTGACACGTAAGTAAGGTTTCAGCAAGTAAATTGCCATGACACTAACTGCTACAAACATTTGAAACTATATAAACCTTTAGCTGTTACGAAGTACCCCATTGGTCACTGATGAAAATAAACATTTTGACATTCTGAATCTCCTGACTTGAGCAATGAAATTTCCACTACGCTACTGTCCTATTGCCTACAACTTGTTCCTTTTTGATTTGTTAGAGTATATATATATATATATATATGTATACATAAATGAACCCATAGGGGATTTCAACTCCCACCCTCGCGGGTCGATTTGTATCATCAACGTGCCAACGCGCTCACATCGTTAATGATAAATCTTGCAGTAAGGCGTCTAGTTAGTTTGAGGTATTAAAAACGAGAAATGTTTGATGAAAAACAGTTGAACTTAAATTGTTAGCTACGGCTATTTGGCAAATATAAATACGGGGCCAGTTTAATTACTGCATGGAACGATGCTCCCTTTTGGTTGCTTGCAGAAGGCTCACTGATTTTAACCGAGTGGTGAAGTTGCGTGATGAGTGAAATAGGTAATTCGTTGAACACTGATAACGTCGCATCGTGTTTATCGGTGTTCTATTGTGATTTACGTAACTTTCTTGTTGTGTGTTGAAATAATACATATGAGCAACACACAAATGTTGCCACCAAACCGTCCGTGGGCCCAACTAGTGAAAGTTATTTTTCAGGAATAGATCTTCAGAGCAACTTTGCTTGTTTTGAAACAAGTGATCTTGTCTAAAACGTGAATCATGATTGTCAATTAAATAATACTTCAGCTTGAAGCTGAAATTCGTATATGTAGTTGGTAAACAGTCACAGTTGAAAATATGTACAATAGTGCACTAATACAGTAAGTACGACAACAGTATTTCTTTATCAAAGACCGAATAACACAAAACTCATATGGACTTGATGAGTTCTATCCTACGGCATTTTACTTTTCTGTTTTGCTTGGTTCACATACGATAGGATCTTGTATGGATCTAATTTTAAATGGTTTTCACCCAAACAGATCGTTCGATTTTGTACCATGGTTTTAACATTTGCATCAAACTGTTTATTCTTTGATGTGGTCAAACGTGATTACCAAAAACCTTGGATGTAGTGTTCAGCAGTGCATAATATTTTTGACCCTCCAGATTTAAAGCAGAAACCATCCCTCTTCAGTTTCACAGACGAAAGTCAGTATCTTGAGCTCATTTTCGAATCAAATCATTTCAACATTTTCGTCTCCTCCTCCTCCTCCTCGCAAATGGCAGGAATCACGTAGTCACTGATCCGTGTTTCCATTTCCTATTAAATCAGGAGCAATTGTGTATAACTGAACAACGTGGCATGGTTGTTCGCGAATGCATTGCGTAATAATCTGAACAAAGTATACGTAATAAATGAAGGACATCACTGATGGGGTCTGTTTTGCACAGCACCAAACGAGTGGAAAATTTCGAAGGTCACACTTTTTCTTTTGCTCGTGGAAGCGATAAGTTGCTAGGATCCCCATAACAAACGGACGAATACTTGTCGGGTGCTGAACATATACCTCTGGTTATTCCTGATCCCGCTCTCACAAATTCCTTAGTGTAGAATCATTTACACGATGACAGCCTCGACTAGTTTGTGGGTTTGTCTTCCACGCTATAATGTTGCTTCTCGTAATCACAGATGTACGGTTGACCTTAACTGCAATGACCGCGGTGACGCACCGGTGGTAAGATGATCAAACGTTCACTCAGAAGATAGTCTTTGAAGTCGCTCTTCATCTAATATTCTCGAACTCTAACTTTCGAACAACCNCAAGGTTAAAGCGGGACACTCAAAGTGACGCCATTTAAAATAGTGATGCAAGAGAATTAGGGACTTTGCGTCAGGAGAGCAAATTACGAATAGATACTCCAGGCCAGGATATCTGAAGTACAGTAAAAACAAATTTTCGGCCACACGGTCACATGGACCTAACAAACGAACATTTATAGCCATGACTACGACCAGTGTTCAAAATTTGACACCTTTTTATCAATAACGGAAAATAGGGTGCACTTTTCCGAACAATTGCTGCGTATCAGTGTTGGACTTCGTATCTTTGGATTATTCTACTCTTGTGCATGAGATAATGGAAGCCCTCCAAGGACTTACCTACCACAAAAAGGCTGAGTTCATCGTGGTTGCATGATTACCAATTGAATGTTTAGGCTTTGCTTTGCACAGCCATTAACCTCATAGTTTTGTGGTTGCCTAAATGCTAAGCGCAAACTATATATCCTAGTTTGAAATGACAAGGTACGCAAGCGTCCTTGTTTACAAACGTCAGTCGCATCAATCATGGTCTCTTATCGTCCGTTCGTTGTTCAGGAGGTTTTCAAACAAGAGGTTTAACGGGACTGATGGGACTGAATTTGCCGATCACTGTATGGGTAGGCCTTTAAAACAGGCTCTTCTTGCGTCAATTCAGTACATCGTTAAACTATCTTTTTCAGAATAAGCATGCCAAAGCGACGAAGCCGGTTCTGTGACACACGTAATGCCCCATAGAGGATAATCTTAATGAAGTTATGAATACTAGTATATCAGTTTCGAACATGCACGCTTTGTATTATTTGGTCCATCAAGTTTGGTTATACCAATATTCAGATGCCAATTCAAGATAACACGTATCATCCGTATCCCTACTTCAGAGTATCGTACTTGTAACGATTTTTGACAAAAACATTCAGAAACTTTTACCATTTTGTATATCAAACATAATTCCTGGAAATAGTTATGTAGATCTATATTAAGTGTGCATTTGGTTGCTATTATTTGAAAATCCCACTTTAAAAAATCCTGTTTTATTTTGTTAATTACAACCTATCGCTATATTCATAAACCAGCCCCCCCCCCAATATTTAGCTCGTTTCAAGAGGTTTTCGGTCATTCCGGAATTTGAAATGCTCAGATATAACTTCTCATAGTATTCCCCTAAAACGGGTAAACCATGTACTAATGAATGAATAAATTTTGATTTTGGATACCTTTACCGTGGATCATGGAGCGAAGTAGTAGTCGAAGCTCAAATCAGTTAGGGTATAGGTCCAGCTACGTTTCCGCTCTTTTTGAAACCCAGTACAAGGAACATCAATCAAACGAATAACATTAAGATCGATATTTTTGGCCTAGATAACTTAGTTTCGCTCACTGCACAAAAAACAGCATAAGAATAAATTTCTCTCACTATCGTGGTTGTATGCATGTAGAACACCTGCTCAACATTTTTGGGACTTACCTTTTCCGTCAGAATGAAGTAGATCATAGAGACGTGTCGAATTAACATTCAGGCACAAACTCCTCAAACCAAGCTGGTATTGGGCAAAAATATCCGCACATATTTGCGGAGTAAATTTTATTCGTTCATCCACACTAGTCGTGCCATTTGCGCTATCCCCTTCCGCATGGGAAAACATGAGACGGTAATGCTCCAATACGCGTTTTGTGTTCTCGTGCGGGTCACAGACAAGTTGTGCTGGTTGAGATACGTTCAGATTACGCAATTCTTGGGCAAGTGGAGCTGGAATTTCAAAAGGTCGGTATAATTGGGATTGATTACGTTGATTTTGTGGATACGTGTTTGCGAAAAGTTGATTTCTAGGGCTTTATTGACCCAAAATGATGGCATATTCGTTCCACCGCAATCATTATACACAAGAGAATCAGTTTTACTGGTACTTGGATTGAGCTCGTCACGTGCTTATTCAACAGTTAAGTAAATGTCTGTTCATTAATTCCAGGTCATGACGATATTCTGTCCTACCTGTCGTGATTTGGAAAGTCGTTTGAAGCACATTGAGAACAACGCAACGTGTTGAACAACCTCATTTTGAGTTACTCTCATTCACGCCAACATCAGCTGCGTGAACATATTACGCTGCGATCACACACGCACACACGGAATTTCAGCATTTAAAATTATAACCTGTCATTTCCCTTTGATACGGTACTCCTGATTTCCTAGTCACGTGATACTCCGTAATGCGGAGAGAGAAAAATTCTCTTCTGTGTCTAATTGCAAACGCTGTTATCAACCCGGGGTTGTACGTATAATTAATCTCTAACGTCGAGGCACAGTGATTCGCATCCGAACGAACAATGCGACTGAATTTACCTCCTTGCCGATCAAACACCTCGTTTTAAGACGAGCTCTGTATATGTAATCGGCTTTTCCTGGTCGACATTCTTTGCATACAGAAAAGACCTCCACAAGAATATAGTATGTTCATTTGTTTGTTGTTTATTTGAGGTAATTTTGGAGACTTGATGTGATGAGTAAGGATAGATTGGGTGTTCAATCAAACCTTCGTTGACAAACAAAGGAGCTCTTTTACAGTTAGTTATCTAACCAGTTATAAGAAAGAATCAATTGAGAAACTTTGAGTCAACAGTATCATAAAAAAGAAATCTGACAAACGATGGGTATTCCGTTACCCGTATCTTTGGGACTAGGTACACTGAACACACGAAACTCTGAACATGGGAATAATTAGGATGAGAGCGGTTGAATCTGATCACTCAGTGGATGCGTTTTTCGACTCACTTACAAAGTTCAAAGCAGGTAATCAAGAGCTGTTGAGTGCCGTATCCTAGCCCGCAGCTTAAGCTAAAACAGTTACTACCTCATTCCTCTTGCCTCGCTTCTGGCACACCCACTGTGCGATCACGAGAAATTTGCACAGAATTTTGAATTCACTTGGTCCACTTCATTCCACCGAGCGCTCGTGAAACTGTGATCCATCTCGCTCATTCCTAACCACGTTATTCGATCTGAACACATACGATGATGAAGTGAAGACACTGGTAAATATTGTTAAACCTAATTCTTGTTATGTATGGGTATGGTTGTGAATAATCAAAACTAATTTGTTTCCAATGTATGTTGCTCTGAGAGTGCTCGCAAGGGTTTTCAAAACATGTAAAACGCTTAATTGCCCAAAAGAAGCATTCCCGATCATTAGTCGAAAGACGGACAGGGTGACTGTCACGCTAGCGATTCTTTGTAGCAAACTGAATCACTGTAAACCAGCAAACACTCATGCCAGGACTGTCAGTTTGGTCTCGATCAATGTGTGCCTTCTTCCACTATTTGCCTCTACTGAATATGGCTACGATTTGTGGCCCTTAACCGGGGTAAAATTGCCTTTTGCAGTGTTTCTGCTATCTTGAGACTTGTCCTTGTTTTAGTTGAACACAGGTGGCGGAAATAATGGAGTTCCATCTAATCTGTATTGACTGTTCATCTCCCATTTATAAAAGTTCAAATGTCTGATTTTACAAGGAAAAAGTTATGCAGAGCAAAAGGGCTGTAAGTTCAAGTGGATGACTCGATCCGTTCTCGGGTACTCAGAGAACATAAGCAGTGAACTATATGAACGCATAAAACCTACCGGTTCATGCATTCCGAGGCTATATGGTTTGCCAAAAATCCACTCAGGTTCCCCTTCGTCCTATCCTATCGATCACTAATTCTCCGTACAATGCTGTCGCTCAATGGTTGGCTGAAATCCTTGAACCCGAAAGGAAACGATTACCGGCATATAGTGTTAAGGATACCTTCCAATTTATTGAAACAATACGAGATATAGACGTGTCAGATAAGGTGATGCTGTCCATGGATATCACGTCTTTTTCACAAATGTGCCACTAGTGGAAACCATCCAGTTCATCATAAAACATCTTACTGATAACGAAATTAATTTGGGGATACCCACAGAAGTGCTATGCGAACTTCTATTTCGGTGTACATACAACGTGCAATTTCTTTTCAACGGAACGGTCTACCGACAAAAGGACGGAGTAGCAATGGGATCACCACCAGGATTCCTTTTGGAGGATTTTTTCATGGCGATGCTGGAGAATAACCACCTGAAAGACACTATTACTAGTCTGTGTAAATATTGTCGGTATGTAGACGACATCTTTTGTATAGCTGATTCAAAATGCGATCTGAATCAACTGCTAGAAAAGTTTAACTCCGCACACATGGCCATACATTTTACAAAGGAGGTATAAGCAGATGATCGAATACCGTTTCTAGATGTACTCCTCATTCGGAGATATGATAGATCTATACAACGCCGCGTGTACCGTAAGAAAACCTGGAGTGGCCAATACACGAACTTTTACAGCTATGTTCCGATCAAGCTAAAGAAAAACCTGATTAAATGTTTGGCACGAAGAATCTGCTTACAAGAAGTATTGGAAGATGAACTCAAGTTTATCTCCAACGTACTCAGAAGCAGTGGCTATCCCGACCGCTTCATTCAACGAAATATGATGGAACAGGTACCAAAAGTACACACTGATAGGGTGGAAAAGAAGGACGTGTTCATTAGTCTTCCTTTTAAGGGTTAAGTTGCCGCGGAAACCCTCATCAGACGACTGAATGGAGCGGTAAAAGCCACATTCAACGCCGCGCACCTACGCTGTTCTTTCAAAAGTTCGCCATTGATAACCATACGGAATAAAGATAAACTACCGATGTTGACCGCTTCAATGATTGTTTACTCTTTCAGATGCGTTTGTGACGCACTCTACGTCGGTCGTACGGCACGGCAGTTATCTATCCGCATGAAAGAACACCATCCCCGCTGGCTGAGGCGAAGTGGTTCCGGATCAATCACCAGTGCGATTCTCGCTCAATTGGTAGACAATGCCCATCGTGTTGACCCAAGTGAAGCATTTCGCATTATCTATCAGGTTCCCCCGAACCGGTCCAAATATGTTAGAATGCGTACGTTGGCCATAGCCGAGGCCATCTGTATTAAGCATTTGACCCCCGAACTATGTGCCCAGAAACGTCTTATCCAAGCACTCCATCTCCCCTGGGTTCGCGAACCCACTCCTCCCCTGTGCCCCCCTTTTCCACATACACAAACATTCTCACACAACAACACCGATCCCTCAGAACTGGGTCACACGACCGTCGTGACACAACTGCAAACCCCGGAAGCACAGATTTGAGAATGCGGTGTGCAACACACACACACACACACACACACACGCACAAACACAGACACGCATCCACATTTTATTGTTCTCTTCCCAACCCCTAGGATTTTTCCCCCATATAAACTGTAATGGCATGATTATGAGTTATTGAAAACAATTGTTCGCCTGAAATTGTGTTCTAAATACTCAGAGAACATTGAACACATGGTGCTTAGTCTGCCCCTCTTCTCTTCGCCCAAAGGACCCTCCCCATTTATTACAAACGCTTCAGTTCGGATAGCTTTCATCACAGCGGTGACCAGAATCCATGTAGAAGAAAACTTCCTCTGGCAAAATTCTTCCTTGTTAATCAAAAAGCTGAGGGAGAACAAGATGTTCCGTTTAGAAGCCAAGCACTGAGATTTGAAAGTGGAGGGTTTATGAGGCAAGAGAAAAGACCACTGTGTGGAGAGAAGAAGCGGTAAACGGATATATCCATCGAATCAGAAACTCTGAAGACTGCAGGAATCTATCTTTATATTGCATAATATTCTATCTAAAGGCTTTTATTCTATGTCCGTTGCTTACTCAGGGATTAAAATTAAATGACGAGCTAATTCTACCCGTTTGCAATCTACCAATAGTGTGCCACATGACCTGCATCAATGTTCGTATTAGCCACCAAGATGTAGTCAAGAAAATGTCGCTTAACCTAAGTAAATTATAAATCTTAATATGGTTGCAAAATATGTTGGTAGTGTATTTCTCAACTGTTCATCTTCCGTTCAAACGATTTAAAGACAAAGGGAAAGGAACTCTTTTAAAACCATCAGTCAGCAGTTTACAGTTCTCTACTTTCCTTCACATATTATCGACCCTATTCAGAGGTCTGCTCTTGATAATTCTACCAAGGATGATCAAATATGTGAACGATTTAGATCTATATCAGGCCATCTCAATGCGAATCAACAATACATCCTTTTCTGACAGTTTATTACAAATGAAAATATTTTTAAATCACTCTGTTTTACAGTTCAACGCCTAAACATAAAGCTTTATTTATTTATCTATTAAATTTTTTTCTCTGTAAAATCCCGCAATGCATGTTTGACCTTTCGCGACTTTTGTGCCCAAGGGAACTCGTGATCGTCACACCAGAGCCCATGGCAAGAACACTGATTATATATATATATATATATATTTGTGTCGATCAAACTCGTGCAACATCACTCTCATTTTGTAAATACATTTCAGTCTCCAATACCATACTTGTATATTGATGACTACGGGTAAAATATATTTATTCCTGAAATTATAGCCCACTTCTATATGCGTAGTCCTCTTCTATCACCGCTTGAATTGGTGTGACGTTCAGAGTTGCGATGAAATTTTTAGTAGTTCGAAATTTGCAGCACAAATTTGGAACAAATTCTAAGAAAAGCAGTATGGCAATTCATTATATTCAATAAATGATTCATGTTCTATGAGAGCCTTTATTAGGCTGAACCGATGTACTCTAAATTGCTTGTATCTTTTCTTCAATGCA